TTCCCATGGGTATCAAGTACGCCGGCTGGCTCTGCGGCATGATCGCCCTGTTCCTATGTGCCGTCGTGACGGGGTGGACGGCCAAGCTCCTGGCCAAGTGCATGGACCTAGACCCGAGCCTCATCACCGTTCTCCGACGTCGCCGTACATCTCGTTTGGGCGCAATGCCCGGATAGCCACGAGCGTGCTGTTCACGCTGGAACTGCTCGCAGCATGCGTGGCGCTGATCGTGCTCTTTGCAGGACTCGCTGGATATCTTGTTTCCCCGGGTTCCTGTCAGTGACGGGCTGGAAGATTTTCTGCTCCCTTATCTTGATGCCCTTAAACTTCCTGCCGTTGCGGCTACTAAGCTTCACCAGTGTTATTGGCATCTTCTCGTGTTTCAGTAGTGAGTATCAACGAACCGTAACCGCAGTCGTCGGTGGGATGCTAATGTTGTCGTTCAGTCGTGCTCATCCTGGTCCTCGACGGATTAATAAAGCCTACCTCCCCCGGTTCCCTCCTTGACCCGGCCGAAACGTACATGTTCCCTGCGAACTGGCTGACATTGCCGCTGTCTTTCGGCCTGCTCATGTCCCCTTGGTGAGTTCAACCACCATCTCTTTCACAACAGATGAACTAACTATGCCTAGGGGCGGCCACGGCGTATTCCCCAACGTAAGTCCACCGTCATCATCAACGCCACCACCCATCACCAGTTTACTCACCACCTCCAGATCTACCGCGACATGCGCCACCCGCACAAATACAACCAAGCCCTCAAGATCTCCTTCTCCTTCACCGTACGTCACCCACTCCCTCATCACCTAATCCACCCCACCCCACAAACGCCCAAACCTAACCATAACAACGGCAAACAAACAGTACCTCCTCGATGCCACAACCGCCATCGCCGGCCTGCTCATGTTCGGCGACGACGTGCGCGACGCCATCACCTCCAACATCCTGCGCGAGGCCAGCTACCCGCGCGCCCTGGCCGGGCCTCATGTGCCTGTGCATCGCCATCATCCCGCTGACCAAGATCCCGCTCAACGCCCGCCCCATCGTCGCAACGGTCGAGGTTTTGCTGGGCCTGCATCAGCAGGCGGTGGCGGGGCCGCCGGAGGGTTTTGAGGGGGATGGGAGTGGTGGTGATGGTGGTGGTGGTGGTGGTGGGTTTGTGCATGGGTTGGTGGGGAGGGGGATGGGGTTTCGGGGGGTCATGAAGGTGGTTATTAGGGTGGGTGTGGTGGTGGTGTTTTTGGGCATTTCGATCGCCTTTCCGGCGTTTGATAGCATCATGGCGTTTATGGGCAGTGCGCTGTGTTTTACGATTTGCGTCACGTAAGTTGCCATGTCTATCCCCCTCTCCTACCCTCCTCCTTACATCCATTCCCCCCCCCTTTTCCCTTCTCCCAGGACGGGAAGGAGACGAAACTACCACAACAAACGAGGTATGGCATTGTCGAGACCACCAAGTTTGCTAACCAACCCACCCAGGCTCCCCCTCGCCTTCTACCTCAAGCTCTTCAGCCACGAAATCTCAACCCGCGAAAAAAGCCCTCGCCTTCTCCGTCATGGATCCTCTCCTTCATCCTCTCCATCATTGGCACCGTCTGGGCCTTCCTGCCCAAGAGTTTGATTGGCGCCGAGCCCGCGGCGCCGGAGCTGCGGTAGCAGTATCCCGAGTTGTCCAGTCATCCCTGCCCTACCTACCTGTGGAGATGGAACGCGTGGCGTGGCGTGTCTTGGGCGAGGAAGGCCGGCCCGGCCGAGGCGCGCGGTTGCGCATGCCTCCTGAGACCCGGTGCGGTACCGGGGATGCAGGACGTTATCCGATGACCAGCAGGCCGTTGGGGCTTGGCTTGGGCCGTTGCTGGGGGTTGGGTTGGGTGTGGTGGTGACGAATTACTTGAGGTGATAGTTATGAGGCTGGATGGATAGGGGGATGGTTGGCTGGGGAGGTTGGTGTCTTGTTCATGATGTGGTGTTTCTGGGGGCCACATCTTCTGCTTGGGTTCATCATGTTCGTGCTTAGGCCTTTATTCATGCGTGCATACATTACCAATAGCATTCGGCGAGGGAGTCGTTGACGGGTTTCTAGATTTCACTTCCTGCCACAGCATAACCAATTAACTTGATTCCAAACAGGAAATGCAGACGCATTGATCATCGATCATGTCTTGGGTCATGAAGTTGTAAAAACCAACACAACAACAACACTAATTAACACCAACACCAAACCCACAAGGTTCCCAGCATCCATCAATTGATGATACCCCAATCAATCAATCCCCCCCCACAACCAATCCCAACCGAACAAATAGTCCACATCCTCCCTCTCCTGACGCCCACCCGACCGGACTCCTGCATGCACTGCTGCACCCTCAGAACCCCATGCATGACCTGTGGGGGGTGGGTGGGGAGGTGTTTATTTACACTGCAAACGCATGTCATGTCATGTGTCGTGCTGGGATAGGAGGAAGCCCAATCCCCATACCAGCGGAGGACAGGCCGGACGCCCCTCCGCGCCTATGTATCATGTCCACCCGCCCTATTGAGCCTGCTACATGGTCGAGAACGGGGGTAGCGGACAGGGCCTCGTCGGGTCGATGCGGGTCCGTTGGTGTTTGGTGTTTGATGTCTGATGTCTGTTGTCGTCGTTCGTTCCTTGCTGTTGTTGCGGGTAGGCAAGGTAACTATGCATGTTGTCCGTCCTGCGTGCTGCGGGCGTGACCTGGCCACGAACCGGTGCTGCATGGACCCTGTCTAGGTAGGCACCTCCAAACGTCTAGGCGTTCTGGGGCAGGGTTGGGGGAGGTGCTGAGGCAACGGATCGGGGAAACTGAATCCCAGCTGGCTGCTTGAGGTTTGTTTCATTCCACCCGAGTCTAGTTAGCCAGGTAGTTTCTGGAAAGTCTAGTCGGGCGACAGCGACGAAACATAACATCGCGAATCTTCAATTTTCTGAAACTGGGTTACAACGCGTCTTGAGACGAAAACATGGCGTTTGAGATACTGGAGCGAGAACGCCAGACCAGCATATGCCGTGTCAATTCACATTTCATCAATCATGCAGACAAGCGGAACTAAATGCTCGAGTGGGTAACCTCTGGTATTCTAGATTGGATCTCCTCGAGACAGTATCTAATACACAGAAAGCGAGTTGAAGGCCGAAACCAGCCCAACCAGACCACTCATCCAAACTACCCCCCTTCCTCCACTCATCCCAACTTCCGTCGATCGATCTGTGTAAGAGTAGAAAAACAACTTCCACCAAAAATGATGATGACCCTGTTTCACAACGCTGCTGGTGCTGTCTGTCTGTCCGTTTTCCTGCCCAAGTAGAAAGTAGAAAAGCAAAAAAACAATAGTCCAACCACCCCAAATGTCCAGTTTTGCCATTTGTGAGCCCCAATCGCGCCAAAAACCCATGCCACCAGCCCCATATGTTTGTGTCGTTTCGTTCTAAACCATGCTATGCTATAAAAAAAAGGAAAGAAAAAGTTGAGTGAGAGACGATCAAAGTATGTAAGATGATATGTGTCAAAGGTGATCGGCTTCACCGGCCGACCCGATGAGAACAGAACAACTGAGCGCCCTACCGCACAGCCCGCGGTAGAATGCCCACACAGCAAGAAAAAGAAACAAGACTAGACAGACAGCAGCAGGGTCAACACTCTTACACCAAGAGAAAAAAAAAACCAAATAGATCGATGTATCAACCGACGGAGGCGGGATGATGATGATGTTGGGAGGGATAAGGATGAATGATGGCGGTTGCGGTGGTAGGCCCAACCACAAGTGGAAAACCGGCACTCGCGCGGACCGCGCTCCCCTCAGGAGCGGGCCGCTTGCCAGTTGACCAACCCCCCGAGATAGCTAAGACCGGAACGCTTCTCCTTGCGCCAGTCGAAGTTCCAATTCCAATCTCGATCGCGACCCTTAGTTCGCGGGCAGTCCTTGGTCTTGTCGCGACCGTTGCTCCACCTTCCCTGGTGATTATCTTGTGTGTGGTGGTTGTGTTGTTGAGTCGAGAGTGGTTCCCAGAGACAGAAGAAAATGGCTCCTGAAGAAGGGCGATGGTTAGATTCGACGTCGTGCCGCTTAATCGGGGAGCTGGCCGAGAGGACGGCCCCAGCTGGCCGACTTGCACGGATAGAGACGTTGACGACCTTGCGAGGCGGGCTGCTGCCGTGCGCTCGTCGGCGCTCGCCGAGGGCCGCCCACTTGTCTAAGCCACTCTGTTGTGATGATGGTGAGTTCCGTGGAAGTTGAGGTTCCTCTTTGGCCGGAGGCGCCTCGTAGAGAAACAGGCCGTCCATGTCAGGATCCTCGTCGAAGGTTCCATCAATGGATGGAATCATGGCCTCGTCACTGGCAAGAGTGGCCGACTTGGTCGCGGGCGACAGGCCTTGTCGGGGCGTGTCGTCGTTCTCGGCGGCTAGGGAAGGGGTGGCAGTGCTATCGTGGCTCCAGGTCCTCGAGTTCATCTCCTTGAGGGTCTGTAGTTGCTTGGTCTGCTCCTCTTCCTCCTCGAACTCCTCGTCCCATAGATCACTCCAGCTCTTGGACACCCCATCACTGCGCCCGAAGACCAGGGACATGGCGGACTGGTTGCGAGTCTTGGACATGGTAATCGGAAGAGACCCAGCCACCGGGGCCAACCTCGCAGCAGCCTTCGCGGGCAGGACCGGACGGAAGTCGGCTGGCGCGGCGAAAGACTGCATCGACAAGCCCAGGTTCGAGTCCATGTAGGACGACATGGACGGCGTCTGCGCGGAACCCGACATCCAGTCCGCCGTGGTGCCCGATTTGGAGAATAGGTCTTCCTCGTAGCTCTCGTCGTCCGGGATGGCACTGAGTTGCCTGATGGGCTTCGGAGGGGTCGCATGGAGGGCCTTGGCCCACGGGAAGGCACCAGTGTCGACCTGCGGACTCTGGATAGAAG